GTCGTCTCTTCAATAGTTGAGACATCTGTAGCAACGCTCTGCAGTGTGCTGCTCATTTTAGTAATTTCTGTAAACAGACAGTCCAGACTGGGAGATGGGTCACCTGTTGGGCCTTCTTCATGTGGAGGGCTTTTTCGACTAGCCATGCGGCCTGTGCCTTTGAAATATTTCGACGTGGCCATTTCGCTTAATTTCGGTTATTTCAAGTCTTACTGACTTAAGCCTTCTTTTAATGCCAATACTTTTGCACTTTGACTTAAATAACATTTTGAATACAGGACTTTTACTTATAACATTGCACTGTGGTATTGCTACTTTTTCTTAAGTAAAAGAGGTAGAGCAGGTCATCCACTAATCAGAAAGTTGGCTTTTCAATTCAATTTTATTTGTGTAGCACCAATTCACAACAGAAGTTATCTCAGGACACTTTTAAAATAGAGCAGGTCTAGACCGTTCTCCTTTTAAAATTATTTACAGAGACCCAACAGTTCCCACAATGAGCAAGCACTTGGCGACGGCGGCAAGGAAAAACTGCCTTTTAAGAGGCAGAAACCTAGGACAGACCCTTCGGCTCTTGGTAGGTGATGGTCTACCTCGACCAGTTGGAGAAGGAGAGACAGACAGACAGAGCAACAACTAAACCGTCAACCATCCCTTATGCTGTTATAGGCCTAGACTATCGGGGGATTTCCCATGGTGCACTGAGCTCCTCTCTTCCTCTCTCTCTTTCTGCACACATTCATGTCCCTTTAATGCATGTTACTAACTTCACTTCTTCCCCGGAGCACCGGAGTGCTTTCTCGTCTCGCAGGTTCTCATGGTCCTGCTTGACTGCCATTGCTAATATCACTGATATTGGTGTTCTTATTATTATTACTACAGCTACTATTATTACTATTGTCACTGCTTGTTGTCCCTCATCGTTGCTGTTGTCGTTGTCATCTACTATTAGTGTAGTTGTTGCTACTGTTGTTGTTGCTGTGCGTCTGTCTGTCCCCCCCCCCCCCAACTGGTCGAGGCAGAAGACCACCCACCTAGAGCCGAAGGATCTGTTCTAGGTTTCTAACAGGCAGTTTTTCCTTGCCCCCGTCGCCAAGTGCTTGCTCATGGTGGTACTGTTGGGTCTCTGTAAATGTTACGCAACGAGTTCGCTCTAGACCTGCTCTATTTGATAAGTGTCCTGAGATAACTTCTGTTATGAATTGGCGGTATACAAATAAAATTGTATTGAATTAATAGTAGTGACTGATGATGAACATGAAAAAGATGATGGCGACGACAACAATGATGGGGGACAATGAGTAGTGATTATAGTAATAATAGTAACTGTAGTAATAATAATTAAAGCTGCAAGTAGCATTGGGCGGGACCTCGCACTACACGCAACTCGGGGTGTGCTGCGGCCGCGTCACGTGCCGTTGTAACACGTGCGGACCAAAACATGTAAATTTCACGTAAATCAGATCAAAGTTGCCATGCAGCGCTTACATCCTGTTGCCAGTAGGTGGCGCTATCACTATATCAACGTCATGCCACAGACACGCCCTTCAACGTACAGTCACAAATAGCACAACTTTTAATCGGCAACATTTTTTAACTGTACTGACCAAGTTTGAAGTAGATCCGATAAATTCCCTAGTAGGAGTTTGTTCAAATACAGCGCAAAAAAAGTGCAAAATGGCATCACAGTTTGACATTCGATTCAACCTGGCTAACTTTGATGGCACGCCACAGACACGCCCTTCAACGTACAGTCACAAAATAAATTAAAATAATTTCACGTTTCAGAAAATACAAAAAAAATTATTTACCTACTGCAGCTTTAATATTACTATTTACAGAATAAATATACAGGAGAAATATATTAATGGGCACTTTTTGCTTAAATACACCACCTTCTGTGAACAATCCACTTGTAAATGGTCTATTGTCATTCCAGCTCATAACTATATTGGTAATCTGTTAATTTCTCCCAGTAAAATCTCAAAAATATAGCATGTGCATCCATGCTTTAATACTGTAATAGGTGGTGGTATTTCCCCAGTAATACAACTGTATCTCCAGTCCAGTCAGAGAAACGGAGGGTAACTTATTTTAAAACTTACCCACATGCATAAGAGATATTAGATCCCCCACTCCTCCAACTGCATGTCGAAGTGTGCTTTAGCAATATACTGAACCCCAAATTGCTCCCAATGCTGTGCAATGGTGTATAAATGTGGTTGAATCAGGTAGTTTTTGTTTGTGATGGTTACATCTATGTGTTGGTGATGGCTATCACTGAAGGAATGGATGTATATGTTTTCCATAAACTAGGGCGGACAGCTGCACTGCAGGAACCTTGCCTGCTTCATAGATCTATGTATACCCTACCACTCTATTGTCTAACCTTTATGATACGTTATCAGTTTGTTTTCACTATATGAGGAAACCCCCTCCCTCTAATAAGCAAGGTTGTTCATGTTTGTCTCCCTCCTTCTGTCTTCCGTGTGACTCACAGGGGTTACACAGGGAAGAAGCTGCAGGACAACGTGCAGTGTGAGATCTTCCAGACCATCTATGAGGAGGCCATGGAGGCCTACAAGGAGGAGATTGTTCACCAGCTGCCCAGCAACTCTCCTGAGGACCTTGAGTGCAACCTGGAGCAGATTGTGCAGTGGACTGAGCAGTGGATGAAGGACCATAACTAGAAGCTTAACCCTGCCGGCTGTTATTCAATTAAAACATGAATTGTAGTTATATTCCATTTTGAATCTATTATCACAAATGTTGTCATCATGAAGACTGTTAAAAGTATGACTTTCTTCAGTGGTCGGTGGCCTGGCTCTAGTTTGCAGGGAGTACTGCTAGGCCTACTTGTTCTCAAATGGTTGGACTTCAAATCAGTTGAAGATGTCTCTTAAACACAGTAACAAACACCAGGACTACCTGAAACCATCGTATGATTTCTAACTACGCGTGTACAAATTATTGTCAAGTCAGAGCCCTTGTACTGCTGTACTTTCATATTTTTTTAATAAATAAATGACTACTGAGAAACTGCATGCTCACAATGTTTTAGTGGTTTTACGTAGTAGTTCAGGCTAGATATATATCCATAGTATTAGAGTATGGTATACAGTATTTTTCTAAATGTTTAATTAGTTTTAATGGTATATTATAATAAAATACAGAATAAAAAAGCTAAAAATAAGGCAGTGAGAGGTTGTAGGTTCAATCCCCGGCTCATCCCACCACATGTCAAAGTATCCTTGAGCAAGATACTGAACCCCTCTCTCTCTGCCCCCCCTTCCTGTCTATCTTTGGCTGTCACTATCAATACAGGCAAAAAAAGGCCCAAAAACTAAAAAAAATATATAATAAGATACTGAACCCCAAATTGCTCCTGATTCTGTGCATCGGTCTGTGAATGTGTGTGAATGAGTGACTTTCTGTTCGATGGGCTTTGACATTGCTGTTTGAATGTGAATGTGAATGTAGTACAGGTCCATTTACCATTACCATTTATACTGATTTAATCACAATCACATATATAAATATTTGCTTGGAAAAGTCCCCAAATAATGATATTTGAAGTCAAAAACATTGAATAGAAATATCTAAAGGTGGCACTGGAAATCAATAAACTGTGGTGCCCTGGTAGATCACCTGGTGCCAATGTATCAAGGCCTTATAGTGGCCATGGGTTTGACTGATTCTTTGGTATTTCCAAAGACATGTCATTTTTCATTGAACTTAACCCTAACAGTTAGTCTAACACTATTTTTTTAAATGAATCAAAGATTATATGAGATAAGATATACTTTATTGATCCCACACTAGGGAAATTCACTTGCTTCAGCAACTCCAGACACAACAATACAATAGATAAGATACACATTAAATTCCATTAAATTTTATTTGTATAGCACAAATTCATAACAGAAGTTATCTCAGATCACTAGCGAACAAGACTTTTGTCTTAAAGGATTTCTTCACGTGCCGAGGATTGGATTTCCTCTGTGTGACCAAGACATGGCTGAGTGTTGGTGAATCCAGCGCTTTTACTGAACTTTTACCCCATGATGCTACTTTAACTCCCCGCGGATGTCGGGCCAAGGAGTAGGAATAGCGACTGTCTATAAGAGTCATTATAAATGTAAGCAGCTATTGCTGTCATCCTCTTTCACCAGCTTTGAACTGAGCTTATTTGAGCTTGGTCACTCTCACACAGTGTTGTGTGCTGTGGTCTATCGGCCTCCCAAGTACAATAAGGACTTTTTAAATGACTTTTCTGATTTCCTGGCTGAAATCATGCCTACATATGACCGTGTTCTTATTGTTGAGGATTTTAATGTTCATGTGTGTTGTCCTGATAAGCCAATGGCAAAGGGTTTTTCAAACCTCATTGATTGTTTTAATCTTGTGCAATCTGTGTCTGGACCCACACAAGAACACGGACACACACTTGATCTTGTCTTATCATATGATTTGCCCGTTTTTAACCTAGAGATATGTGACGCAGTGTTTTCTGACCATATGCCTGTATTATTTGAGGCTGCTCTTGCCTGTCATACAGTTACACCTCGCGCTGCTGCTCAGCGCTGTCGCATTATTAACCCTTCCACTGCTGTTCAGTTCTCGGTTGCTTTCAATCAGAACTCCATCATTCCTGAGTCTGTGTGCAATACAGAAGAGCTTACCTCATGGTTTCACTCCACCTGCCAAACTGTTTAAGACACTGTGGCTCCATTAAAATCCAGGCAGCCTAAAACTAAATCTGAGCCCTGGCTAAATGACACGACTCATGCGGTCAGACGTGAGTGCCGTAGAGCTGAGCGTAAGTGGAAGAAGGACAAACTGCAGGTGTCTCTTCAAATGTTAAGGGACTGCTGACGCCATTATCAGAAAACTGTGAAAGATGCTAAAAGAAAACATTTCTCGGATATTATCCTGTCAAACTGTCACAAGCCTTGTGTTTTGTTTAACACTATTGGCTCACTTCTGAATGCCCCACAGACTGCATGTATGGAGGCGTGCTGTGTGTGAAAACTTCCTTCACTTTTTTATTGATAAGGTCACTTCAATTAGGGCTCAAATCTCACCTTCAGTTTATGACCCCTCAATCTCTGTCCCCTGCTCTGCTGTCTTTGACCATTTTGAGCCTGTGACTTTTTCCTTTTTACAGGAGGTTGTTGGTCATTTGAAGCCCTCAGGTTCTCCAAATGATGCTGTCCGCCCTCGACTATTTAAAGAGGTTTTCCCCACTGTAGGACCATCTGTTATTGCAGTCATAAATAGCAGTCTCACCTCAGGTGTGGTCCCTGAAAATTTTAACCATGCAGTAGTACAACCTCTGATTAAAAAACCTGCTCTAGATCCTGCAGATCTTTGTTTTAAAACACTGCACAGCACCGAATCAGCTCTCTTAAGAGTTTTTAATGATATATTTTTAGCTACTGACTCTGGTGACTATGTTATCCTTGTGCTTTTAGATTTAACTGCTGCATTTGACACAGTGGATCATGAAATCTGATCATGTTTGAAGCAGTGGGTGGGCATCAGGGGCATAGCACTGGAGTGGTTCAGGTCGTACTTGGCTGATCGAACTTTCTGTGTCAGCCTAGGTGACTCAGTATCCTCCTCTGCTCCTCTCTCGTGTGGGGTCCCACAGGGCTCAGTTCTTGGCCCTCTCCTTTTCTCTCTCTATTTGCTCCCACTTGGTTCCATACTTAGGAAGCACGGCTTTTCATTCCACTGTTATGCAGACGACAGTCAGATTTATTCAATTCAATTAAATTTTATTTGTATAGCGCCACTTCATAACAGAAGGTATCTCAGGACACTTTTCAAATAGAGCAGGTCTAGACCGAACTCTTTATAACATTATTTACAGAGACCCAACAGTACCACCATGAGCAAGACCTTGGCGACAAGGGCAAGGAAAAACTGCCTGTTAAAAGGCAGAAACCTAGGACAGATCCTTCGGCTCTAGGTGGGTGGTCGTCTGTCTCGACCAGTTGGGGTGAGAGAGAGAGAGAGACAGAGAGAGAGAGAGAGGTGCACAGCAACAACAGTATTGGTAATGGCAATCTAGCAGGACCATGGCAGGAGGCTCCACCAGGATCAATAAGAACCTGCGAGACGAGAAAGCACAAGAACTCCAGGGAAGAAGTGAAGTTAGTAACATGCATAAATGGGACCTGAATGAGTGCAGAAAGAGAGAGGAAGAGAGGAGCTCAGTGCACCATGGGAAATCCCCCGATAGTCTAGGCCTATAGCAGCATAACTAAGAGATGGTTCAAGACTCACCTGAGCCAACCCTAACTATAAGCTTTATCAAAGAGGAATGTCTTAAGCCTACTCTTGAATGTGGTGATGCGGCTATTGAACTGATGCAGATCAATAGCCGAAAAACAGTCTAAGAGTATATCTGATTTTACATTTGTTAAAATTCCTGTATTTGGAGAGCAGTTGGTGAATATTTTGTCTCTAAAAGTAATACATTTATCATAAAATAAGCTCAAAGTCGTTACTACTGAGGGTTATGGGGATACGTGACTCAATAGAGTTGTGACTCTCTGTCAGCCTGGCTACAGGGCTAAAGAGGAACCTGGTGTTGTTCTTATTTTCTTCTATTATTGTTGAATAATAGGCTCCTCTGGCATTACGGAGGGCCTTTCTATAAGTTTTAAGGCTATCTTGCCAAATTGAGCATATTCTAATAATTTGGAAGAGCACCATTTCCTTTCTGATTTCCGCGCTTTTTGTTTTAATTTGCGGGTTTGGTGGTTGTACCACGGTCCTACACTCCGATGTTTTAATATTTTTCCTTTTTATAGGGGCAATAGAATCTAGTGTGGTTCGTAGTGAGCCTGTAGCACTATTGACAAGATGATCAATTTGGGAGCGACTAAGGTTATTTTAGGACTCAGATTCAGACATGGCATTGAATTAAAGACTGATGTAATCTCCTCCTTAAATTTAGCTACAGCACTGTCAGATAGGCATCTGCTGTAGGAAGTTTTGCCTAATGCCTTATAATCTAGTAATAGGAATTTATTAAATAATGGTCAGATAAAAAAGGATTATGTGGAAAGACTATTAAATGTTCAATATCAATGCCATATGATAGAACAAGGTCAAGAGTATGATTAAAACAAGCGGTGGGTTTATTTACACTCTGACAGAAGCCAATTGAGTCTAATAATGAGATAAATGCATTACTAAGGCTGTCATTGTCAACATCCACATGAATATTAAAATCACCTACAATAATTACTTTATCTGTTTCAAGGACTAAACTTGATAAAAACACTGAGAATTCAGATATAAAATCAGAGTATGGTCCAGGAGCGCGGTACACTATAACAAACAGATCTGGTTGCAATGTTTTCCAGGATGGTTGAGAAAGACTAAGAACAAGGCTTTCAAATGAATTATAATTTACTTTAGTTTTAGGATCAATTAAAAGGCTTAAATTATATATGGCTGCTGTTCTACCTCATCGGCCGGTGCCTCGAGGAATGTGAGTATTAATATGACTGGGTGGGTGGGGTGGTGGATTCATTTAGGCTAACATATTCTTCATGGCACAGCCAGGTCTCAGTAAGACAGAGTAAATCAATGTCATAATCTGATATTAATTCATTAACTAGAACAGTTTTAAAAGACAGAGCCCTGATGTTTAATAGTTCACATTTAATTCTTTTATTTTTTTTGCTACAGTGGAGTTTGTTTTTTTTCAATTCCTGTTGATTTTACTTCTTTTAATAGTTTAGGTGGTCGGGGGCCAGACACAGTCTCTATGGGGTTTTCGGTGGGTAATTGCTCTAATGGAAGCGCAGAGAAGCGTGTAAGACAGCAGCTCTGCTTCCTGTTCCCAACTCTAGATTGTCAGGTTTTAGAAATAAACTTTGTCATAGTTCTAGATAAGTGAGCCGCTCCGTCCAAAGTGGGATGGATGCCGTCTCTCCTAATCTGACCAGGTTTTCCCCCAGAAGGTCCGCCAGCTATGTATGGACATCACCTCAACAGCCAGTGGTGAAATGACGACATTGTAT